CATTTTCACATTCATTGTCAAAACACATTCCAAACCAAAGTCAAAGCCCACCAAATTCTCTCCCCAAAACAAGGTTTCCACTTTAAGCCCCTGGCATTAAATATGTCATAAGGTCTGGATCACAAACACAAACAAGCATTTTCACATTCACTTGGCAACAGGACCCCCCAAAGGCTGGAGATGGACAGGTGAGCAGCAAGAGACAAAGAGACAACTGAGGGATAGTTTGGAGAAACCCTACGAGACCTGCCAAAAAAGGTCTTTCTGGAGGTGAAAAGGGCTTCTTTGTCAATCCTAATTCAGAGATTCAGACCCAGGGCAATTCACATTTGCTTTCTGAGTGCAGGAGGTGGAAAGGTGCTTGCAAACGCTTATAAAGGGGGGGGGGGGGTGTCTTTGCAAAGGCAATCAAGAATAGGAAGGAAGGTAACGGAAGGTTATAAACATAGACGTGGTTGAGTTTCGGCTGCATTTTCTAAATCTTGCGAGCCGCTTTGCATCTCAGCTGAAGAGATACAGGTATGATGATGCTGATATAACAACAACAACAACAACAACAACAACACCATCTGCCCAGAACAAAGAACTGGTGGGGTCACAAGCTGGAAAAAGTTACAGAGAACGAACACGTCAAGCTACTCCGGGACTTCCGGATTCAGACAGACAGAGTTTTGAAGCACAACACTCCTGACCTCATGATCGTGTTAAAAAACAAAATATGGATTGCCAATGTTGCAATCCCAGGTGACAGCAGGATTGAAGAGAAACAACTGGAAAAGCTGACACAATATGAGGACTGAAAGATCGAACTGCAAAGACTCTGGCACAAGCCAGTCAAGGTGGTCCCAGTGGAGATCAGCACACTGGGTGCAGTGCCTAAAGACCTTGGCCTGCACTTAAAAACAATTAGCACTGACAAAATTACCACCTGCCATCTGCAAAAGGCCACCTTACTGGGATCTGCATGCATTATTCGCCGATACATCACGCAGTCCTAGACACTTGGGAAGTGTCCGACGTGTGATCCAATACAACAGCCAGCAGAGTGTCTGCTGTGGACTCATCTTGTTATGTTTCAAATAATAATAATAATAACAACAATAATAATAATAATAATGGAAAAGACTCACATGTTTCAGGGGAACAGATCTTTGTTTACATTTGTCCTTAATTGCTTTACATCCCACCCCCCCCCCCAAAAAAAAGATGAATTTGGAAAAGTTAGGTGGGGAGAGGACAAACTTAATGGTGTTTTCCGGACTGTCTGGCTATGTTCCAGGAGCACTCTCTCCTGACGTTTTGCCTGCATCTATGGCTGGCATCCTCAGAGGTTGTGAGATCTGCTGGGAACTAGGAAAATGGGGTTTATATATCCGTGGAATGATGTCCAGGGTGGGAGAAAAAACTCTTGTCTGTCTGGACAATTGAAACTTTCACACCTACCTCAAACGGACAAGAGTTCTTTCTCCCACCCTGGACATCATTCCATAGATAGATAAACCCCACTTGCCTAGTTTCCAACAGACCTCACAACTTCTGAGGATGCCTGCCATAGATGCAGGCGAAATGTCAGGAGTGCTTCTGGGTAAACCCCATTTTCCTAGTTTCCAACAGACCTCACAACCTCTGATGATGCCTGCCATAGATGCAGGCGAAACATCAGGAGAGAATGCTTCTGGAACATGGCCAAACAGCCCGGAAAACACACAACAACCCAGTGATTCCAGTCATGAAAGCCTTCAGCAATATTCACGGCAGTTCCTTATTTCTCCACCCTTTTCGACCATTTAAGACTTTAATTAAAGGAGGGGGCACCGTGATTTTTACCCATTGTGGAATAGGAGTTACTCACTCCCTTATGTTCAACAAGGAAGATCCATAAAGACTTTCTTTATGGGGGGAAACACTAGGAAGGGTGCTGTTGGTGGGAGGTCATTCCCTTTGCCATTCAGGATTCTCCAACCCTCTTCAACAAGGTAGGATTTCTTCTTTTGGGGGTGGGCTATACATGCTATTCATGGCAATACATGTATTCATGGCTATTCAGGGAGGAGCGGGAGGAAAGGACTCTAATCTAGATCTCCTTGGACTAAAAACTCCCCCAAAAATACACATTTGGGGAGTGGTCTTCGCTTTAAACCTCCTGCCCAAGAAATAGAGGGAAGAGGCAACAGTTGGGGAAGGGAAGAAGGGTCCAATGAACCTGTTGCTGACCCCCAAAATACCCCCAAAAGAGATGGAACTGATGAGGAAAGAAAGGGGGCAATGATTGGTTCCCCTTTGTGGAATAGGAGTGACTTCTTTATGTTGGACAAGGAAGATCCACAAAGGCTTTCTTCATTGGGGAGAAGAACTAGGAAGAGTGTCTTGTCGAAGGCTTTCACAGCGTAAATCACTGGCTTGCTGTGAGTTTTCTGGACTGTCTGGCTATGTTCCAGAAGCATTCTCTCCTGACGTTTCACCCCCACCCACGGCAGGCATCCTCAGAGGTTGTGAGGAAGGGTGCATTTTGTGGGAGTTCATTCCCTCTGCCATTCAGGATTCTCCGACCCTCTTCAACCCTTTTTGGGGGGTGACTGGGCCAAATGTGCTCTTCATGGAAAAGGAGGAGTAGGAGAAGGAGGAGATCTCCTTCCACAAAAATACTCCCTCAAAATTACACATTTGGGGAGCAGTCCTGGCTTTAAACTCCCTGTCCAAGAAATAGAAGGAAAGGGCAACAGTTGGGAGGAAAGAGGGGTCCAATGAACCTGCTGCTGACCCCCAAAAGAACCCCAAAAGACCTGGGATGGAACTTGTGTCACTGGTGAGTGAGGAAAGGAGGAGGACAGTGATCGGTGCCCTTTGTGGAATAGGAGTGACTTCTTTTTCCTTCCCTTACGTTGGAGGAGGAAGATCCACAAAGGCTTTCTTTATGGGGGGAGGAGCATTAGGAAGGGGGTGTTTGGGGGAGTTCATTCCCTCTGCTATTCAGGATTCTCCAACCCTCTTCAATAAGGTAGAACTTCTTTTGGAGAGGTGGGGTGGGCTAAATGTGCTATGGCAAAGGAAGCGGAGGAGGAGGAAAGGACTCTCTTCTAGATCTCCTTCCACAAAAAGCTGCCTAAAAATACACCTTTTGGGAGTGGTCCTGGCTTTAAACTCCTGCCCAAGAAATAGAGGGGAAAGGCAGCAGTTGGGGAAGGAAAGAAGGGTCCAATGAACCTGTTGCTGACCCCCAAAAGACCTGGGATGGAACTTGTGTCATTGATCAGAGCAGACTACTCTGACGAGAGTTGCTGAAAGCTGACCAAAAAATACCCATTTGGGGAGTGGTCCTGGCTTTAAACCCCTGTCCAAGAAATAGAAGGAAAAGGCAACGGTTGGGGAAGGGGAAAAGGGTTTCTATAAACCTGTTGCTGGCCCCCAAAATCACCCCAAAACACCTGGGATGGAACTTGTGTCACTGATCAGAGCGGACCACTCTGACGAGAGAGGTGCTGAAAGCTGACCAAAAAAAAAAAAACCATTTGGGGAGTGGTCTTGGCTTTAAACCCCCACCCACAAAATAGAGTGAAACGGCAAGAGTTAGGGAAGGAATGAGGGGTCCAATGAATCCTCCACTTTGATGGGAGCTGCTGAAAGCTGACCAAAAATACCCATTTGGGGAGTGGTCCTGGCTTTAAACCCCCACCCACAAAATAGGCAACCGTTAGGGGAGGAAAGAGGGGTCCAATAAACCCCCCAAAAGAACCCCAAAAGACCTGGGAGGGAACTTGTGTCCCAGTTGGGGAAAAAGAGGGGTCCAATGAACCTGTTACTGACCCCGGGAAAAGGCAATAGTTAGGGGAGGAAAGAGGGGTCCAATGAACCCCTAAAAGAACCCCCAAAGACCTGGGAGGGAACTTGTGTCATAGTTGGGGTAAAAGAGGGGTCCAATGAACCCCCAAAAAGAACCGCCAAAGACCTGGGCGGGAACTTGTGTCATAGTTGGGGTAAAAGAGGGGTCCAATGAACCCCCAAAAGAACCCCAAAAGACCTGGGAAGGAACTTGTGTCCCAGTTGGGGGAAAAGAGGGGTCCAATGAACCCCAAAAAGAACCCCAAAAGACCTGGGAGGGAACTTGTGTCCCAGTTGGGGGAAAAGAGGGGTCCAATGAACCCCCAAAAGAACCCCCAAAGACCTGGGAGGGAACTTGTGTCCCAGTTGGGGGAAAAGAGGGGTCCAATGAACCTGTTACTGACCCCCCAAAGAACCCCAAAAGACTTGTGTCATTGGAACCTGTGTCATGGATCCGAGCGCTCCCCTCAAAGCCCCTTCCCCTTTTTAAGGAAAGCTGATCCGAATCTAACAGGGGAGAAGAAAAAGAGAGAGATGGAGAAGCAAAGGCAAGGAAGGGGAAGATGGCAAGGAGAGGGAGGGGAGGCTTCCATTCCATCGCTTTTGGGGGGTGCAAAGGAGAAGAGACCCTCCTCTTTCACCTCCAGAAGGGGCCTGAGATCTATTTGGGGGGCTGGGGAAAGGGGGACCCTCTTTCTTCCACAAGTCGGGACCCATTTGCCGGGTGAGTGTTATCTATCCATGTGGAGGGTTCGGGAAGGCATGAGGATTGTGGAAAGGTTTGGGGGTCTTTGGAGAGTCGGGACCCCATCTCCAAGCTATGTGTTTGGAGGAGAGGAAGGCTCTGCTGGATCTCGACCCACTCGGGAGGGGGATCCTTCCTTCCCATGTCGGGGAATCAAGGGGAAGGATTCCTTGGGATGCTCCTGCCTTGGAAACTTGGGGAGATCGGAGGGGTTTGGGGGGCGGAAAGGGGTCCCTCTTGTCCTCCCTGGAGGGGGGGAAAGTTGCCCCAAAGGGGGAGGAAAGGGAAAAGGAAGGGAAGGAGGAAGGAAGTGGGAAAGGCGGGTAGCATCTTCCGGGAAACCAGAGAGAGAGGAGAAGGCGCCTTCCCGCCTGCGTTGCCTGCTTGCTTTGCCTCCCTCCCGGTCCAAAGCGCATCATCCCTCCGAAAGACTCACCGGGCAAAGCAGGGGGGTGGTCGTGGTGGTCGTCCTCCTCTTCTGCCGCCGCCCCCGGGGACGCCTGAGCCGGCCGGGAGAGCCGCTTCCTCGGCTTGGAAAGAGAGAGCCAGCGCTCCGCCGGAATAAGAGAGAGATCCGAGCCAAGCTGAACCAAGCCAAGAGGAGGAGGAGGAGGAGGAGGAGGAGGCGCCGCGCTTTTAAACTCTCTCTCTCTCTCTCTCTCTCTCGTGGACGAGCGTGCGCGCCCCCGGAACATGTGACCGGCCCCGGGAGGGAGGGGGAAAGGGGGAGAGGCAGCCCCGCACCGCTCCCCCGAGGCGCCCCCGCCCCACAAGCCCAGAACGGGAGGGAAAGAGCGAGGGAGGGAAGGAAAAAAGGAAGGAAGGGACCTCCAAGGGCCATCCAATCTGGCCCCTTTCTGACAAGTCGTGCCTGGCACCGTCCAAGCCCTCCCAAAAGATGGCCAGCCAACCTCAAGGTCTCCAGAGAAGGAGACTGCCCTAGACTCCCAGGCAATTGATATTCCAGTCCAGTTGGGACCCCCAAAGGGCATCCAGTCCGACCCCCTCCTTCCAGGCAGAGGCAGGCACCGACCAAGGCAAGCCCTCTCCACACATGGCCTGTGTTTCAACACCTCCAGAGGAGGAGAGGCCACTGGCCTCCCAAGGTAATCCCTATCCCATTGCAGTTGGGAGCCCCAAAGGTCATCCAGTCCGACCCCTCTCTTCCAAGCAAAGGCTGGCAGCGCCCAAGCCCTGTCAAAAGACGGCCAGCCAACCTCAAGATCTCCAGCAAAGGAGACTTCAAAGGTCATCCAGTCTGGCCCCTTTCTGACATGCTGAACTGGCAGCGCCCAAGCCCTCCCAGAAGATGGCCAGCCAACCTCAAGGTCTCCAGAGAAGGAGACTGCCCTAGACTCCCAGACAACTGCTATTCCAGTCCAGTTGGGACCCCCAAGGGTCATCCAGTCTGGCCCCTTCTTGCCAAGCAGAGGCTGGCACCGTCCAAGCCCTCCCTAAAGATGGCCAGCCAACCTCAAGGTCTCCAGAGAAGGAGACTCCCCTAAACTCCCTGATAGTTGATATCCCATTCCAGTAGGGACCCCCAAAGGTCATCCAGTCCGACCCCTTCCTGCCAGGCGGAGGCAGGCACCGACCAAGGCTAGCCCTTCCAGCACTAGACCCCATGCAAACGATATTCCATTGCAGCTGGGACCCCCCAAAGGTCATCCAGTCCAGTTGGGACCCCCAAAGGTCATCCAGTCCGACCCCTTCTTGCAAGCCGAACTGGCAGCGCCCAAGCCCTCCCAAAAGATGGCCAGCCATCCTCAAAGTCTCCAGAGAAGGAGACCTCAAAGGTCATCCAATCTGGCCCCTCTCTTCCAAGCAAAGGCTGGCACTGACCAAGCCCTCCCAAAAGATGGCCAGCCAACCTCAAGGCCTCCAGAGAAGGAGACTGCCCTGGACTCCAAGACAATTGATATTCCAGTCCAGTTGGGACCCCCAAAGGTCATCCAGTCCGACCCCTCTCTTCCAAGCAGAGGCAGGCACCGACCAAGGCAAGCCCTTCCTGCACATGGCCTGTGTTTCAACACCTCCAGAGGAGGAGAGGCCACTGGCCTCCCAGGTAATCCCTATCCCATTGCAGTTGGGACCCCCAAAGGTCATCCAGTCCAACCCCTCTCTTCCAAGCAGAGGCTGGCACCGTCTAAGCCCTCCCAAAAGATGCCAGCCAACCTCAAGGCCTCCAGAGAAGGAGACTTCCCTAGACTCCCAGGCAATCAATATCCCATTGCAGTTGGGACCCTCAAAGGTAATCCAGTCCAACCTCTTCCAAGCAGAGGCTGGCACCTCCCAAGCCCTCCCAAAAAGATGGTCAGCCAACCTCAAGGTCTCCAAAGAAGGAGACTCCACTAGACTCCCATGCAATTTATATTCCAATCCAGTTGGGACCCCCCAAAGGACATCCAGTCCAACCCCTTTCTGCCAAGCAGAGGCTGGCACTGTCCAAGCCTTTCCAAAAGATGGCCAACCAAGATCAAGATCTCCAGAGAAGGAGACTCCCCTAGACTACCTGATAATTGATATCCCATTCCAGTTGGGACCCTCATAGGTCCAGGTTGGTTTATCAGGTGCTCTGCTATAGCTGAATTTTCTGGTTGGATTAGTCTGCAGTGCCTTTCATGTTCTTTAATTCATGCCTGGACAATGCTGCAATTGGGAGTCCCTCTGTAGACTTGTCCAAAGCTGCATGGTACACGGTAGACTCCTGCAGAAGTGAGAGGATCCCTCTTGTCCTTTGCTGAACGTGGTAGCATTTGTTGGATTTTCTTGGTGGGTCTGGAGATTGTTGTGTAGGTTGGGTTCCTTCATCAGCTTCCCTATGCAGTCAATGGTTCCCTTGATGTCTGGTAAGAACACTTTTCCTCTGGGTGGATCTTTGTGGTTCCGGCCAGTGATTCTGGTCATGAAAGCCTTTGACAACACACTCTGGCTACTCCTTGGACTTCTGCTGCAGGAACCAGTTGCTTCCAAAGTTCTTTGTTTGAGCTGCTCTCCAAAGCACCAAGCCTCTCTCCTGGGTTGTTCTTGGCCCTGCAGCTCTTCTGATGCCTGTCGTGGAAAATTATTTAGGCAATAGACACACTCATTGGCCTGTAGAGCCCAGTTTAAGTGGTTCAGCACACCTCAGAGGAGATGGGGTTTACACCGTCTTCCAGGGCTAACAACTCACAACAACCCAGTGATTCCAGCCATGAAAGCATTGACTTGGTGAACTTTGGCTCACTACTTTCCTCTGACCTCCTTGGAAGAAATCTGGCAGGAAGCAGCCAGGCTTTGTAGCTGCCAGGCTGTTCAATGCTAATTGAGCTGGCCAATTACAACATCCACACTTGCCTCCAACAGACAAGAGTTCTTTCTCCCACCTTGGACATTATTCCACAGATATATAAACCCCACTTGCGCAGTTTCCAACAGACCTCACAACCTCTGAGGATTTTTTTTTTGTCGTGTCAGGCGCGACTTGAGAAACTGCAAGTCGCTTCTGGTGTGAGAGAATTGGCCGTCTGCAAGGACGTTGCCCAGGGGACGCCCGGATGATTTGATGTTTTTATCATCCTTGTGGGAGGCTTCTCTCATGTCCCCACACTAGGAGCTGGAGCTGATAGAGGGAGCTCATCCGCCTCTCCCCGGATTCAAACCTGCGACCTGTCGGTCTTTAGTCCTGCCTGCACAGGAGTTTCACCCACTGAACCACCAGGGATCTCAGAGGCATCCTCTGAGGATGCCTGCGATAGATGTGGGCGAAACGTCAGGAGAAAATGCTTCTGGAACATGGCCAGGCAGCCTGAAGAACTCACAGCAACCCAGTGAAAGCCTTTGACAACACAATCTGGCCACTCCTTGGACTTTTGCTGCAGCAACCAGTCGCTTCCAAAGTTCTTCATTTGAGCTGCTCTCCAAAGTACCAAGTCTATTTCAAGGAGAGATCCAGAACTCCAAGCAGCCCTTTTGGAACTAAGACCCAGAATGGATTTGCTGCACCAGACCTCAGTGCTATGGAGTCAGAGGAACTGTAGTTTTCCAAAACTTTTAGCCTTCTCTGCCAAATAATGCAGATCCCTCATGAAACTACAACTCCACAGGATTCCATAGAAAGGAGCTGTGTCTAACTGCATTGATTTGACATAGGAGCTCCCGGTGGCACAGTGGGTTAAACCGCTGAGCTGCTAAACTGCCTTACCAAAAGGACCCAAGTTCGGTTCTGGGGAGCAGCGTGAGCTCCCATTATTAGCCCCAGCTTCTGCCAACGTAGCAGTTTAAAAACAAATGCAAATGTGAGTAGATCAATAGGGACCACTCCAGCGGGAAAGTAACGGTGCTCTATGCAGTCATGCTGGCCACATGACCTTGCAGATGTCTATGGACAATGTTGGCTCTTTGGCTTAGAAGTTGAGATGAGCACCAACCCCCAGAGTTGGACACGACTGGACTTAATGTCAGGGGAATACCTATACGTAGAGAAGGCATGGGCAAACTTTGGCCCTCCAGGGGTTTTGGACTTCAACTTCCACAATTCCTAACAGCCTACCGGCTGTTAGGAATTGTGGGAGTTGAAGTCCAAAACACCTGGAGGGCCAAAGTTTGCCCATGCCTGGTGTAGCGTCACCTATGGAAAGGAGCCCCCGGTAGTGCAGTGGGTTAAACCCCTGTGCCAGCAGGACTGAAGATCAACAGGTCGCAGGTTCAAATCCAGGGAGAGGCGGGTGAGCTCCCTCTATCAGCTCCAGCTCCTCATGCAAGGACATGAGAGAAGCCTCCCACAAGGATGATAAAAAAAATCAAATCATCCAGGCGTCCCCTGGGCAACGTCCTTGCAGAAGCCAATTCTCTCACACCAGAAGCGACTTGCAGTTTCTCAAGTCGCTCCTGACATGACAAAAAATACCTATGGAAAACATTCACCTAGCCTGCCCCCTGCTGGTCTGGATTTGAAAACCTTTTTAGCCAGACCTTTGGGAATTGATTTTTCAGGTAATAGGCCTTGCATGACCACCATCATCATCATCTTCATCAGTGCTTTGTACCTGCCTTTCCCACCATCGTGGGACTCACAGGAGCTAACAACGTGTTTTAAACAATACAAAATACATTTTGATAACAGCCTTGGCTTCAGGAAGGGAGAAGTCAGTTGTGTGTTTTAGTGCTTGTATGTATGTTTTATTGTTGTTCTAAAGGGAAAATACAGGGGTGGAGAAGATGTTAGGAAGGAGTGCTAAGGGATCTTGTCTTTATATTTGATTCCCTTGCTTTGTTTTAGTGTCTGTGTTTTCATTTTTTATTTCCAACTAGCCGTCCCCTGCCACGCGTTGCTGTGGCTGACATGGGAGTTCTGTATGGAAGGTTTGGCCCAATTCTTTCATTGGTGGGGTTCAGAATGCTCTGTGATTGTAAGTGAACTATACATCCCAGCAACTACAACTTTCAAATGTCAAGATTCTATTTTCCCCAAACTCCACCAGTGTTCACATTTGGGCATATTTAGTATTTGTGTAGAGTTTGGTCCAGATCCAACATTGTTTGAGTTCACAGTCATCTCTGGATGTAGGTGAACTACAACTCCAAAACCAAAGGACACTGCCCACCAAACCCTTCCAGTATTTTCTGTTGGTCATGGG